GTTGACATCAAGAATGGCTTTAATACTGAAACTAGAAAAGAATGTATCAACTATAAAATAAGAGTTATATGGCAGCAGGACATAAGGCAAGTTGTAGTGGATTATAGTCTAACAGTAATGTGTCAATCTTAATATAAAATATGTATAAAGTTTTGTATAAAATCAACTTAAATTATCCTCAATATTTAAAATAGTTTATTTTATAAAATAAGCAAAAACTTTGATATTGAAAAATTTTGCTTTTATGAATGCAAAATACTTCAATAGCTGGATTACCATATAATATCAAGCTGGATTACCATATCAAATACTTAAAAGTTGGATTACCATATAATATCAAATACTTCAAAGTTGGATTACCATATAATAACTAATACTATTATCAATACTGTTATTGGGCTAACCAAACATTTATTTGGGTTTTCAAAATGTTGCTTCTTATTTTATAAAAAAAATAGTTGTATTGTAAATAACTTTTTATATTTCAGGGAGAACTTGAAACAAGTAAACAACAGCAGGAAAGATTACAAAAAGAGCTTAGTAAACATTTATATGAGCAGGTAATGTAAAGGTAGCAGGTAATGTTTTTAATTGTAAACTCTTATTTTTATGCACAAATAGGCGTTGTAATTAACTTGTTGTAAATAACTTGTTGTAAATAACAGATTGTTCCGAATAACATTAGTTATAATGATTTTGATTATGTAAAGCTCTCCTACATAATGCCAGACAATACTGCATTCAATATGTTGACTGTAGATTTAAGTATTTGTATACAGATATTTGTGTTTTGTGCAGACCTAAATTCTTTAGAAAATGATCTTGTTGATATGTAATATAATTAAACTTTTTTTTTAACAGATAAACTGTGAGTCATCACTAGCCATTCTTTTAATTTAATACTGTTATTTTAGTGCAGTAGAATTTCGATTGCTTGAATTTTTTTAGTGTAGTTATTTAAAAAAGAGGGTTTAAAGTTGATTTATTTTTTAGTGGTTTAAGAAGCAACATTAATGGTTAGACCTTGTTGAGTTGCTTTAAATTTGATATGGTGTAAATGACCTTTGTGACAATACAACTTGCTATAAATTATTTTAAATGTCTATTTTGTTATTCAGTAGAAAAACATGGCAAACTCAGGCAAAGTTTAAGTGACTTTTGAATTTCAGTTAAAGTTAAGTGTGTAGTTGGAGTTCATGTTTTTCTTTATTCAAATACCAATAAGAGTTTTGCCAAGCCTGATAAAAAATCTGACATGTGTGATATATGTAATACTTGATGTAAGCAGCACTGATGTATACCGCTTTATAAACCTTTTATAATTTAGTTGTTGCAAATGTCAGTTAATAATGTACCAGACATTTTCAAAGAAAATAAGTAATATATACAAAAAACAAACAAACAACAACAAACAAAAAGAAAATAACAAGCTTATTTAAAAAGTTATTAAAGATGAAACATTGCATAGTATTCATTCAAGAGACATTCAAATTATTGTTGTCATATCTCACCGAGAGTCAAAGTAGCAAGCTGGCAATGTATTTATTAAATAAATTGTACATAACTACTTGTGTCATTTAAAAGTTGAGCATCTAAGTAAACTTTTGATGAAGATTTTTTTTATAAAACAAAAGGCTACAGAATTAGTCCTGAAATATAATAACGGGTATATCTTAGTTATACTTGCATGGTTTAACTGACTAAAATTAAGTTAAGAGAAGCAAATTTAGTTTTATTTGAAGTAAGCTTAATACCGTTGCAAACAATAAACTTGAAAAAATTTTATTTAATGTTTTTTTTTAACCAAAAGGCTTAAAAAAATCAAGACCTAAAAAGCTCATGCGAGATTCTTGGGCCAGCGACCCCATGGTCAAGACTTAAAAGTATTATGGCTGTTTTATGATTTAAAAACTTATTGATTTTAATAGATATTATATGTATGTACCTTAAACCCAAACTCTTAGTTTATATATATAATGAAACCTCCATATATGGCTATTTTTAGTCACCAACCATATATGTAATTATAATAAATTTAAGTTAATATATATTTTTATTAGGACACCCTAAATGCAGAACTACATCAGTCAGAAAAAGAAATTATGCAGTTAAAAAAGTAAAGTTTATCTTTTCTTTTTTTTTAAGTATATATATTATAAATATATATATTGATTTTTTCAATTAAATATGTTTACATATTAAGTGTGTTTGAATATTAAAGTGTTTAAAAACATTTTTTATTTAATTTAATTTTTAGTCAAATAGAAGAACTTACTCATGCTCACAAAATGGAAATTAATAATGCAAAGCTTAAGTATTATATTTTTACTTTTAACTTATAAATGCTATACAAAAATCATAAATAATATTATAATTCATTGATTTTTCAATAGTAATGTTTATAAAATTAAAATAAATACAGGATTATTATATATTTTTTAGTGTTATTTACTTTTATTAGATCTTGTTTTAGCTACAATCTAGCATTTTTGACAGGTTTTAACACTTTGGAAGATTTTTGTAGGCTGGTTTTTATAACTCTTAGAAATTTTAATTTGGATAATATGTTGAAATATATTTAAAGCTATTCGAAAATAAATTTAATTATTTGATATTATCTTAAAGTTGCTGCACTCGATACTGTTTTGATACTTGTTTGCACTTGATACTGTTTACTAATTTTGAGATTGTAAAGTTTATATAATTAAATTTCAATTTAAGGCTGATTCATCTCTCTTCAGTGTTTACAAATATTCTTAAAAATTATTTCTTCATCAAAAATGATTAAGGCATTTTGGCATTTTTTTCTGAAAGAAACACAAAAAACAATTACATAAAAGAATTTAAAATAAAGGATAGTTTTATGTTTTGAACAAATAATGTGACTGAGATTACTTATAAAAAACTTTCCTTTTTTTCGATTCTTTGTCAATTCAAAAATGCACAAAAAAAATACAGCGTTATAAGCAATAACAAAAAATTTAAGTTACAATAAATTGCAACTAAATTTACAATAAGTTATATATAATTAACAGTTGCTAAAAGTTTATATAGAATATATTGCTAAATAAATATAAAATAAATATAAAATATAAATATAATAAAAAAAATAATATAGTATATAAAATATGGCTATAAATAAAATATATAAATATATGTAAAAATATAGTATATAAAGTATAATAAATATAAAGTTTAAATAAATATAAACCTATAAATATATACCTAAATAATATAAACCTTAAAAAGAAAACAAATAAAAGATGTTTTACAAAATTGAAATATTTTTGAAAGTTAATAATTAAAATAAATTTGCTGCTATTTTTATTAATGGTTAATAAGTTTCTTGTTTAACCTAATTTACAAAAGTTAAAAGTTTCAACAAAAAAAAAAAAGAAAAAAAGAGAAAATAGAATAAAAATAGAGAGAAAAAAAAAGCCATATATAATATGTATCTGTTTGTTTAAGTTTCATGAATGCCCAAAGTAATCTTGAGCGAGAAAAAGATAGTTTACAGATGGATTATAACTCATCTAAGTCAAAATTGAAGATCCTTGAGTTAAATCTAGAAGAATTAAAGAAAGCATTAGAAGAAAAGGTTTTCAACTTTTTTCATTTATAATTTGTTGCATTTGCAAATCTTCTACCATACCTTTTATATGTTGCTGTATGCATGTATGTATGTATGTGTGTATGCGTGTATGCGTGTATGCGTGTATGCATGTATGTATGTATGTATTTATGTATATATGTATGAATGCATTTATATATTATCTAAGTGTGTAATTGTTTATATTGTTTCACTATAATATTTAATTATTCATGTTTAAAGTATTTGATTATATATATATATATATATATATATATATATATATATATATATATATATATATATATATATATATATATATATATATATATATATATATATATATATATATATATATATATATATATATATATATATATATATATATATATATATATATATATATATATATAGAAACTGCAATGAAGTTTTTATGTTTGTTAAATAAAATTAATATTTTTAAAAGGAAGCTGAAGTTATAAAACGAGTCCAAAAAGTAAAAGAAGAAGAATGGGATAAAATTAATAAACTAGAAAATTCAAAAGCTCAGGTGTCATTTTTAGATTATATTTTTTAATTATTTTATTTAAGTGTTTTAAAGTTGAATGTTTGTGTTTGGAAAAGTTTACATAACATTTCTTATTTAAGGATGTTGTTGTGGAAGCATCGAAACAATATAATATGTAATATTTAAGAATTGCTTAACAAACCCAAAGATTTGGCATATAGTATTTAAAAAAAAATAATAAGAAAAACAAAAACAAAAATTAATTTTTTTAATATTAGGCATGGACCCAATAATATCTTCTATTGAAATGAATGATATAGATTATTTCAATAGGAGTGGATTGTATAGGAGTGCATTCAATTAGTGAATGTAATAGAAATGGATTCAATAGGATTCAAAAAGTGGATTTAAAAGGATTCAAAAAGTTAATGTAATAGAAATAGATTGAATAGGAGTGGATTTAATTGTGGATCTATCCACAATACTGTATGTATCCACAATCCTTGTGAATATATAAAATATTTATACATATATATCTGTAGTTATGTATTATATATATATTAGATGTTAGATATTTTCTTTCTCTCTCTCTTACTCATGTGTTTATATCGCTTGTGTGTATATCTCTCTTACTAATGTGTGTATATCGCTTCTTTCATCTAGTTTTCTGTATTTATATAATTTGCAATCATTTACGTTGTCTGTGAATTGTTATCTTGCTCTACAAACATTATCTTTTCTCTTCCAGTAACTTCCAACTCTAATAGTGGTTGCTTGCAGCCTTATTGGAAGCGATGATGTTAAGAAAATAAACGCTTTTGTCAGACTGGCACAGCTTTACTTTTATCAATCTAATACATTAGATATTTTTAAATTAGTGCTATTTTTAAAGAAGAAGGTGTAAAGACAAGTCAGATGACAATTAATCAAAGGTTGCTGGAGGCTCGGCTTCATGCTTAGCATCCAGGAAAAAAAATCTGGATTACTGAGAAAATGAACCATACATAAAAACACGTATAGAGTGGACGTATAAAGACTGGAAAGATAAAGACTTTTCAAAAGTCATTTTTTTTGATAACTCTACCATCCAAGTATTAGATGACTGAGTTTAGACTATAAGAAAAAAAACCAGGAGAGTAGTTCAGGGAAGATTGTCTCCATCAGATGGTAAAATTCCCCATAAAGATGGTGTGAGGTATGATATCCCAAGGAAAAAGTCGTCTGCATATTGTACAAGGGACAATAAATGTAAAAAACAACATTGAATTACTCAGTACCTGTTTGAAACAAGTATGTGACTGATTCCAAGACAGCACCTGTATTTTTCAACAGTACTCAGTGCCATGCCACACTACACGCAAGGTTTACCATAGGATGATAAAAAATGGGATTGAGGGACTCCCATGGTTAGGGAATTCCTCTGACATAAATCCTATAGAGTTACTTTGATATCAACTCTAGGATAAATTCTTCATGAAATGTCTGATTTGTTTGTGGTTTCATAATGATGAAATCAAGGAGATGTGTGGCAAGTTGATTAGAGTATGTCGAAATATTAAAAAAACATTCCAGCAACATATGTTTATGTGTATAATTTATGATATGTTTATGTGTATAATAACAGGTGATGCATATATTATCAGACAAGAAAAAAAAACTATTTAAATTTTTTTGTGAATTAAGAATTATTTGTTAATTAAAATCAGTCATTTTTTATATTAAAAAACTCCATCATCTGCCATCATTATCTCCATCATCTGCAATAGATTCAGTTTCTTTTAGTTTGATGTGATCAATCAAGAGTTTTTCTGATGAAGCTAACCTTATCACCAAAACTTTGAAAAATCTTTAGGAAAACAGATTACAAGACAGTGTGTAAATCTAGTGCAAGTCTTAAATCTTTGCTAGCCTTATGCAACAAAACAAAACTACCATCAAATAGCTATCCTGGAGTATACCTAATAGAATGCAAGTTTAAACAAAAGTATATTGGAAAAATAAAAACTCAAAATATTTGAAAGAAAATTTTGAGAATTAGTTGAAATTCAGTTTAACAAATGCGGACCTGAGAATGGAGTTATGAGTTTAGATGATGATCGATATGTAAAAATGTAGTTCTGGATACCAAATTAAAGAACCTAAGTTGCTAAGTTAGGCAGTTAAACTGAATAAAATGCTTATTTAGTTCAACTGCAATATCGCTTGAAGAAATAAATTAAAAAGTGAAGTTACCGTTTGTTTGTAATTGAACATAATTTATAGTTTGTAATTAAAGCTGAAGATTCTAGTATCAAAAATCTAGCAAAAAATTTTTTTGATTTAATAAAAAAATTAGTATTGAGAGAACTCATATTCATTGACATTCATATATTAAATGTATATATATATATATATATATATATATATATATATATATATATATATATATATATATATATATATATATATATATATATATATATATATATATATATATATATATATATATATATGTTAAAACTAAGTATAAAGTATTAATATATGCACTCATGTGACTAACGGTTTGCATCAGAAGTGTGCAGGCCAGTGTTTTTTAGCTTGGGCCTAATAAGAGTACATACATTAACAAATATTGAATTAGGTGTAAATATTTTTTAAAATATAAATTATGATGTATTACATTTATAAGTTATCTGAGCTACTAGTTTTGCAAAATAAATAAACAGAAAAGTTCTTTTTTTTCTAACAATTAAATAGTTTAAATTATTTAAGCAATTATTTTTGTAGTTTAGAAAAAAGTTTAGAATTCTTATGTTTACTTGTTAAAAGCATGACTTTTTAACATGTAAAGTTTGCTTTACCTAATTATGTTTTAATAATAGTTAAATTTTTTTTTATTAATAAATTTAGCTTGAATCACAAATTACATTACTTGAGCAACAAAAATTAGATGCAAGTGCAATGTTTAAAACACAAATTGAACAGCTTGAACAACACTTAAAAGCAGAAAAAGAATGCAGTGTAAGTGAGTTTGTGTTAGTGAGTTTAAGATATAAATTAATAAATTTGGATAATCTTTTGTTTTTTAATATTTTAGGAGCGTGCTGAGAGAGAATCTGTCAATCAAAAGAATCTACTTACACAAGAAAAACATCATTTTAGAAATGTTGAACAGGTTTACAGTATCCTAAATTATTTTATTTTATGTATATACACATGTATATATATAAACAACCCTCAGAATTAAGAAAAATGAGGTAGGCAATAAATTATATATATATTTTGATGCATATATATATATATATTTTGATGCATATATATGTATATATTTATATATATATAAATATATATATATATATATATATATATATATATATATTTTGATGCATATATATATATATATATTTTGATGCATATATATATATTTTTTTTGATGCATATATATGTGTATATATATATATATATATATATATATATATTTTGATGCATATATATATATATATATGCATCAATATATATATATATATATATATATATATATATATATATATATATATATATATATATATATATATATATATATATATATATATATATTATACCAATTAATTAAACTTTAAAAAATAATCAATTAGCAGGTAAGTAAAATACAGTAAAAAGTTAATCAGAACTAAACACAAAAAATAAAAATAACATGACAATTAAATTTAGGCGAAACCCAAATAAATGGTTTTCCACTAATTGCTCCCCTGATTGAAAATCCACTAATTGGTCTGCTGATAAAACATCTGTAGTTTCATCAAGTTGGGTATAACATTTAGTAATGAAAATCATTTATACTGATAATATAATTAATTCTTAAATATTGAAACATCTAAAATGCAAGATTATATCTCGCATTTTAGATGTTTGCAATATATAGAGTATTTAACTGCTTGAAATGGGCTAAAAAGTGATTTGATTGTAACAGGAAAGCAAATAAAAACTTTGACAAAAAATTTATATACTTTTACTTGTTTCCCTTTTATTTAATAAACTTTTTTTGAAAAAAAAAAAAAAAATCAAAGGTTTTTTTAAAAAACCCAAAATTACCGTAGTTTTTTTGATTCAAATTAGGTTTTTATTAAAAAATGCCATATTGAGTTATCCTTTTAAATTAAAAAAAAGCATATCACATTTTATTTGTGTAAACAATATTCTTTATCAATATTATTGTTATAATTCATCAAAATTATTCAATACATCATTGTTTAATGTTCTATATATAAATACAAGCTTTGCTGCTTTTTCTACCCCCTATTATCTATTGGTTTCTTAACTTAGAATGAACAAGGCTAAAAGTCGAAAAAAAAATTTCAATTCCAACACTAGAAGCTGGTGCATTTAATAAACATTCAATATCCATTATGTTGCAATCCACAATTTTTAGAGATTTCCACCATTCTTTTGGTGATACATTTTTTTCAACAAATTCATTGTATAAATAGCTTTTATCGAATGGAAAAGATTTGGCTTTTAGTTTGAATATCATTGGTTACAAGTTGTTGAACTCTTTATCTGCGAAATTCATGGCAGCTTCATTTTCATTTTCAGAAAAATTAGATCCAAAATATCTAGGATCTAGTGTTTTTGCCAGGAAATGAGCATTACTGGCAGTCTGAAGGTATCTAGATTCAATTTTTTTTTTGTATAAAAATGATAAACTGTTCATCAAATCTTTAAAAATTTCATCAGTCTAACTTATTTTTGTTTGATCTCTTTGCAACTTATATAGAGCTACTGCAATTAGTTTTAATATTTTCAATAAATTTTCTGTGTTTTGCTTTATCTGTATATCACTTACTTTTTTAACAATCATGAGATCAAAGTCTTTATTTTTTTCAAACATTATGAAAATAATGCTCCAGTTGTTGACATATTTTTCAAGTGAATAACATACAGAATTCCAGCGACTTTCAGTAGGAGGTGGCAATTTTGTTCTTCCGCCTAATTTGTAAAGTGCTTGATGAATATTTCTTATATATTTTATTATTTGTGTAACATGCTTGCTAACATTTTCAATGTTCAGATCATTTGCTAAAAGATTCAGCATATGAGCAGCACACCCATAAGTTATGATAATATTTCTTTCAGATGACAGTACTTGTCTCATTGATTTCATATTAGCTGCATTGTCAGTCAAAGCTTTTTACTGTGCATCCAAATTTACATCTTACAGAATCTATTGCTTCTCTTGCTAATTGTGTAAGATTCACCAGTATGTGAATGGCCAGAAGTGTTGATTGTTTCTACTAAAATGTTAATTTTATCTGTAATTACAGAAATACAAGCTATAGGTTCATTATCTACATCACTCCAGCCATCTAAAGACGTGGCTACAATTTTCCCATTCAGTACATTACATTTTTCAATTTCTTCTGTGTAAACTTTATCTAATATTCCTCCTCCAATTTGAGTTCTATTAGGTAGAGTGTATTGTGGATCAATCATATTGATAAATTTTATAAATTCTTTGTATTCAACTGTTCTGAAGCTAGAGTTTGTACTGTATATAAATCTACCAAATTGCAGATCAAATAAATCTTTCTCTTTAAGGCTTTTTCATGTGAAAAACTTATCAGTTTTCAAATATTTATCAGCTGATGTTGAATTGGGCTGAGACCTTTTCATTTGCTGTTGTGATGTTGATGATGAGTTACCTTTAAAATTAAATTGCAGTTTATTGAATTATTTTAAGTTAATATGTCTATACATGATAGCAATTTAAATATATGTTTACAATTTAAGCAAAGTATAAAATTTGAAATGGCAATGCAGTTTAATTACCTTCAAAAAATTGTTGATCTTCATTTGGCTATAATTTCATGGGGTTGTGATTGCTTGCACTTTTTTATATGTTCATGCATCCTTTGATTTTGACCTTCCAAATTTTTTCTACACATATTACAAACTGCTCTACACCCCTTTCTTTTTGGAACAGTCGTTTTGGAACAATGTGTCACTGCTTCCTGATGAAATAAGTTTATCAGGAAGCAATGCTTCTTGATGAACCTATTGAAGGAGAAACAGCCTGTAGAAGAAAACAGATAAATAAGTGTTATTACTAATTTATTACTGCTCTGTTCTATAAGAACACTGAGGACTCTATTCTACAAAAAAGAAAAAAAAAATCATGGATTTAAAAAAAAAATCTATATTGAAGATTAGTTATATTTGTGAACATAACCTGTTTTAGTTTCCTGTTGTAAGTTCAAATCTTTTTAAAAAAACAGTAATTTGGTTTAAACCAACATTTTTTTAATTGGTTTAAACCAATGGTTTGAACCATTTGGTTAAAACCATGTAACCCTGATTTAAACTTTTGGTGTTAATTTTTTTTAATGTAATGTAATTATCATTTTTGAAATTTTCATATAATTTTGCATCATTGAAGACCCAACATTTTTAAAATTTTCTTTTTGATAATAGAGACTTGTTCAAGGTCTTAGGGGACCCCTAAAAATTTTTTTTATTTGAAATTTTTTTTATCTCAGTGTTTTGTTTTTTGATTATACAGAACGCATTAAGGGGTGAATTTAAATTTTTTCAAAAATGTTGTTTTTTGGACACCCTAATATATATATGCTTATAATTTAACTTAAAAAAAAGTTTATGAAAAATTTATACTTACAGGGACAAAAAGTTTACAGGGACAAAAAATCACAGTCACATTCTTGTTTAGTCATTATATATTTTTGTTGTAAAAGAAGGTCCCTGTTAGCAATAGTTTTTAATTGAAAGTACACACATTGACTGACAAATAGGTGTCAAAAAAAGATAGGAATTTATTTTTGTTCCTCTATTTTAAAACCAAAGCATTTCATTTATTTTAGTAGATTTTTACCTTTATATGTTAAAATAAGAAACTTTTCATATAAGCAAAGATTGCAGATTTTAATAAAGGGTTGTATGGATTGCAATGCTTTGCAATTTTCCACCTCATTGACTGTGAAACTTTTTGTTTTGTTTCAAATTTCCTTAGACAGTTCAGTATATTTTCTGTATTTAATAATGTTGGATTTAATATTTATTATTTTATCTCTATTTAATAATAAAGATTTATACAATTAGCATACCGAGATTTAAATGGAGTTTAGATAAGTAAAGTTATACTTTCTTTTTTTTTTGTAATTCAGCTTATTTGATAACATGGTGGCTTTATAGATGATGTTTTTTGTCAATGGATTTGTACTTTGGTTATATAATATTCTGTGATTATGTGAATTAATGATGGATTTAATGTTTGGCATACATGAGTAAGGTGTTTTGATTGTATTCTATATCTTGCAAATTTGTGACTGTTCAGAAACTAGGTTGGTTTTGAATGGTAGGTTTGTTTAAAAATCTTTGTGATCTTTTAGAGTAATAAAACCAGGGCTGTGGAGTCGGAGTTGCGGAGTTGCGACATTTTAAGCGGAGTCGAAGTTACTAAACAAAATCGCAACTCCGACTCCAATAGTAAAACTTCTTCTTGCATGTACATGTACAAAATATTCAATTAACCTTATATTAACTATTCAATTAACCTTATATTAACCTTATATTCATACTAAACCTCAAAGAACTTTTCATAAATTTGACAAAAAAATATTTTTTAACTTATTGCGTAATATTTTTTAAAGAATTCAAAGAAATTTTCAAAAGTTTTTTAAATTTTAATGACTGGAATCAGAGTCGGAGTTGGTACTTTTTTTTTTATGACTCCACGCCCCTGGATAAAACAATTGGAAGTACTATTTAATTTAATTCTGTTGAAAACATAATGTTTAATTAAAAGTTGTTTACTTTCAATATTTATTTTATCTTTATGATTTTGGTCAGCCTTTTTATATGTGGATGTTCTTAAGGTTATACCTATTCTTGGATAGTCTGTAAATAAGATTATACCCATCCTTGGTTGTCCTTGTCTGTCCATAATTGAGGTTTTGTTAGCTTGAGTTAACATTTTATGCAATTTGTATAAAGACTTTATATCCACTGATGAATATCATTGGTAACATAAAGTAAACATTTTGTTTACTTTATGTTATTTTAAATTTTTAACGTGATTAAATAAATCATTTTCAAACATAGACACTTCTTTTACATATGGAGCATGTTTTGCAAATTTGGTGTCATAGTTTATGTGGAAAAGATTAAAATTCCATTTATAGCTACTAATTCTAGTCACTCCTCTTCAATTTATGGTTCAACACCAAACGAATCAACTTAATATTGTTCCAATGAGATTGAAGTATGTCTTATCAACACTTCATGCATTAATTCATAGCAAGGAACTGAACTGAAAAAATAAAACTAATAAACTTAAACTTGATGATTGTTCTTACTGGTTTTGATAGTTGTTGATCAAATAATGGCAATTCTTCTATTCTCCATTCTTCAAAA